CACTAATAAAAGTCACAAGTATGAAAGAGAGAGGCATTATGTCCCATGGACCTTGTTGAAACGTAACTATCAGAAATTTCAGCATAAGTTATGTGAAACTGTGGACAGATATTTTTGTCCCCCACACGGGAGGTGTCATAGCTAATAGCCTGACTCTGCTGAGCAGAGCCGTTAAGGCATCTGGTAAGGGAGGGAATGGGTTTTAATAATACAAACAACTGATGTGGGCGTGCAAAGAATGGTGATGGATGGGCCGGATGGATCCTTGGCACGACCCTCTGAGGACAGTATGGTCCCAGTTTAATTCACTTGATCCAGACAGTCACCAGCAAATTTCATTTAGAGTTTGCCTCTGCTTCCTGGAGACCTGGGTAAAGCTGTGGAAAGCGAGAGGCCTTATTGAGATAGGCCACCTTGGGCTATTTCAAGACAAACCTCCATCCCCAGGACATCGCATTTCTCCTCCTGTTTGGTTCTTGATTAGATTCAGTTTCGCAGCCCCGAGAAGCCTGAGCTTTTTATAGCCCGTTCTCATTGCAGAGAGTTCTTGTTTGGTGTGATTTTAGGACAGCTAGGAGAAGATGTGAGCAAGGGACAAAAAGGCCTCCACTTCACCATAGTCAAAAATCCACCGTGGGCTGCTGGCAGAATGGCCCCAAGTGGAAAGGCCCTTGCTACCAAGCCTGATGACCCAAGGTTAAAGGAGAGAATTGACTCCTGCAAATTGTCTTTTACCTCCAATGGGTACGGTTGAATTTGTGTACAACCCCCTAATATAATTAATGAATCAATTAGTAGTAAGTAGATAGGTATTTCACTGTCAGGCCCCGGAGTACACATTTGCAATCCCAGCACCTAGGAGTCTGCGGCAAGAAGAGAAAGAGTTCAAGACTATCCCAGGCTACACAGTGAGCCCTGTTTAAAAACAACAACAACAACAGAACAAAAACGTGTACACCGGAACATAAGGATGTCCTCGGAATATGACAAACGAGGAGGGGAAGTTTTTGGTACGCACACCATGTTACACAGGCACAGGTATAATTCCTTTCCGATTGGACTGAAACCATGAGAAGTAATTTGTCAAGAGAAGTTGCCCCTGATGAACTAGAAATTATGCTTCTATGTGATGACCCTGAGGAAGTACACACCCCAGAAAATTTTCCCTCAATGATACTGGTCTCTTACTACAGCTGATTCTTCAGGCCCAGTCAACCAGCTATGATTGTCCCTGTACAGCAAAGGCCTCATTTCCACAGATCACTAACCTGAAATATCACACAAACATCCCTGATCATCTTTGCTTCCCTCTGAAACTTCACAAGCCAGGCATTCATCATGGGCAGTTCTATTGGCAGGGTCTTCCAAGTTCCCACAGACCAACTCACTAAGAACTAAGTACTCAAAAACTTTTTCAGCCCAAAGTTCCGAATGCTTCTCCAATCCTCTCCAAAAAGCACGGTCAGGGCCATCACAGCAAAACCCCACTCCCATGGGCTGGAGAGATGGCTCAGAGGTTAAGAGAACCGACTGCTCTTCCAGAGGTCCTGAATTCAATTCCCAGCAACCACATGGTGGCTTACAGCCATCTAGAATGAGATCTGGTGCCCTCTTCTGGCATGTTGTATACATGATAAATAAATCTAAAAAAAAAAAAAATTAAAAAAAAAAAAACCTTCCTAGTTTGCTTCCCTATTGCTGTGATACAATATTGACCGCAGTCAACTGGGGAGGAAAAGATTTAATTGGCTTATAGGTTACAGTCTATTGTTGCAGGAAGCCAAGGCAGAAACTCAAGACAGGAACTTGGAGACTGAACATGAAGAGGGGCTTTGGAGGAATGCTGCTTACTGGCTTGCTTCCTTGTTCGCATTCCTTATGGAACTCTTCCTTATGCAACCCGAAGCATGTGGCACCACCCACAGCGAGCGAGGCTTTCCTCTATCAACTAGCAAGTGTTCCCAGAGACATGCCCATAGCCCAGACTGGGTGCAGCCATTTCTCAGTTGAGGTTCCCTTCTTCCAGGTATCCTTAATTTGTTGAAAAAGGGGGGGAGGGGCACAGAGGTCACACTGAGATGAGCCTTAGGCAACACAGCCTCATAAGTTAAGTTCTATTTGGGGAGCGTTGCCTGGGGATTCTAGACTAAGTCACAGCAACTGAGCTTCCAGTTGACCTTGATGTAGTGTATTCTAGACCCAGCCCAGAAGCATCCTTATCAGATCAGCTGCGGAGGTAAATAACAAACACCAGAGAGGAAAACAGCAGGGGCTACTCACAACTCAAATGCAACTAATGTTTCCTCCCTATATTTTCAAGCCCCACTTCCCAGGTTCCTACCTACCCTCTCAAATGTCTGACCTGGAACTGGCCTGGATCAGCCACAGCCCTGGGTCTCTGCACCTGCTTCCCATGGTCTTTGGTGATTCTCCAGTCACTTCCCCTCCCTCTCGGCCCAGGCCCCTGTGTTCTCTGTGTACTGCATGGTCAGAGCCTCTGAGCAGCATGATATTCTGATGCTGAAAGCCTTGACATACGCAGCACCCTCAACAATAGTGGCCAAGGGCCTTGTGTGATGGCATAGCCCAGCTCCTACTGTGTGGGGCAGGGTTTGATGTCCAGCACATTCGGCAGCAAAGATGGGAAACATGACACTAGTAACAGGACCACTCTTCACAAGTCAAAGGCAGGGGACACACCAGAAGAGAACCAGTGAGGTGGAATCTTTCGGGTGACGTGCCAGCGCAGAGAGGGGAAGAATGGAGCATGGCAGAAAGCCTGCAGAATGTGCCAGTCTTTTCTTGCTGCAGCAAGGCTCTCACGGGAGGCACGAACAGCAGGACGGATCCTGTAAAGCTCTGAGGACCTTTGCTGTAATGTGATCAGACGTCATTCTGGGTAAGCTCAGTGGTGTCCTGCCTCGCTTTCTAGCTTTTCTATAGATCAAAATCAAAACAACAAACATTTGCATGCAAGCACACACTTGCCGTGCCGTGGTGGAGGCCAAATTCCTACTTGTGGACCTTGGTTTTCTCCTTTCACCGTGTGGGTTTCAGAGATCCAACTCATACTGTAGAATTCACCTTCTAGGTTAAAAAAAAAAAATTCTCTTTGTTTGTACTTAGCGACACCAAGGAAAAACTCTCTGGTCTTTTTTGTTTTGTTTTTCAAGACAGGGGTTCTCTGTGTAACAGGCCAGGTTATTGACTGTCCTGGAACTTTTCTGTAGACCAGGCTGGTCTTGAAATCACAGAGCTCCACCTGCCTCTGCCTCCCAAGAGAGCTGGGATTAAAGGCGTGCGCCACCACCTGACACTTTCTGCTCTTCTGTGAGCTAGAAATTTAGGGTTCATCTAAAGTTTGCTAACCATGGATGGCACAAATGGCAGAGCCAAGAGGGACAGAAAAAGGCGAGAGTGCCACAAATTTGTTGAAGGAGCAGCACATAAGTGTGAGCGGTCATTTCAGCAAACACAATATTGTTTGACACGTGTGTTATTTTGTTTACATATTTGTTTTGAGAAATCAAATTCCTCACATCTGCCGTGTGTGTGTGTGTGTGTGTGTGTGTGTGTGCCTTAGCTTATTTATTTAAACATGCTGATGCTGGATAGTTTAAGATATTTTAATTTGCTTTTATTTTTTAACAGCATTAAGAGAAGCATAGACCAAACGGTTCTTTGTTGCAGCAAAAATTTCCTATGCTAGATAGACATTCTTCATCACTAAGACCCACAACCAGGGAAACAAGAACACACTTGCTTTTATTGAACTTCTAGTGTCCAATGACACTCAACCACACTTAATTGTTTTTCTACATTTAGGTGACATTGTTGATTCTCCTTCCTAGATTCTTGTAAACTTGAAGGTTGGGATCAGTGGGCTTTCTCTTTAGTATGCTGCGGCCTACAAGATGACAATCCCCCCAATCTATGTAATCTCTAAATATATTATAACCCATTTTTCTTCCTTCTCTCCTGCTCTACCCTTTAAGTAGGGGAAGGAGTTTCCACAAAGGACAGGGACATTCAGCGGCTTTCTAAACATGGGCACTAGGGGTAATGGCCCCACAGACACTGATGACTCATTCATTTGTGTGAAGGTACAGTGTTAACTCAGATTTAGAGACACTACAGTCCAGTGCCCCAAAACATCAACAACACAAACAAAAAACGATTTAGCTGAGGCCTGAATCATTAAGGGCAGAAATTGTGTTCAGGTCTTTGTAAGTACCTTATGTGTGGGCTGGAAAATCCTGGGGAAGGGAACGGTACTTGGTGGTTCTAAAGTATCCATTCTACAGACACATTAAGCATTTGGCTTTCTGCGTCCTAGACGCTATTTTAAGCGCCGGGGATTCCGTGATGGAGGGAGCAGGGGAGGGAAATCTGTTGCTATGGAGTTTTCATTCTCAAAATTTAAGTACTTAGTGTCACCATTCTCATCAACTCACAGTAATCTGGGTAGAAGCAGTTGGGTCTCATAAGGGACAGAATCTCACCCTGAGCTTTCTGGTGCGAGGGAACTGGTTTACGCAGCAGAAGGGAGAGGCAAAAATCTGCGGTGCCCTCCGCCTCCCTCTGCACCGTCAGGCCTGGCGCGGCCACCTCGCCTGGGATTAACAATCTCCTTGTTACCCAGTCCCGCCGGCCGCTGGAGGACAAGGAGAGGATCTGACTCTCGCGCCACCCTCCAAGAAAGGTATGCGGAGAGCTGATGTAAAGCTCCCCCACCCAGGCAGACGAGCTCTCTCGGGCTTGACGGTGGGGGACATGCAGCAAACTGCTCTCTCATGCTGTCCCATTATATATTGCAGCCACACGCTCTTTGCAGCTTCCCTGAGGCCACTGCAGCGTCCCCGCCCCGCCTGTCCGCCCAAACAGCAGAGCTCCACTGCAGCTTCGGAACCCTGTTCCCTTTCTTCGCCACTTCCTCGTTGCCATGGAGACACACGTCATTTACGTGCCGTGCGTCGCCTTGGAAACGGGGGAGCATCCGCGGCGCGGCTGGGAGACCCGCCCCTGCCGCTCCAGCCGCACTCGCGGGCTCTGCTGGTGGATGGACCGGGGGGAGTCCCGAGAACGACACGCTGCAGGTCCCCGTCTCGACCTCCACTCCTCTGAGAGCGCCTCCGTGACCCGGAGAGCCGGTGGTTGCTGGGAGGGCTGCGGGGACACAGGTACCATCCGGGAGGCGAGCTGGCAGGGCACTTTTGCCCCTGGGCAAGCCCGCAGACGCTGGCCCCAGGACCTTAGACGGGTCTTCGTTCCGTCGACTCTTCTCGGCCTTCCTTGATCCTGTCGGCGCCCTCTACCCGGGACTGCTCTCCTCACGTCGGCTCCCCGCCCCTCTAGGGAGCCTAGGTGTCCCTGGGATCCACCCCGTCCCTCTTGGGACCCTTCTCCCTTCACACCCTTCCCCCACCCTGGAGGCCCGGCTGGACGCGACCCAGAGCTGCCACCGCCCGCTTCTGCCACTCAATGGAGGACAGTCTGCTGGAGATCATGACCAAGGACGGCGGCGACATGCCGGCACCTCTGGAGGTGTCCACGGTGCCAGCCGTGGGGGACGTGATCTCTGGGGAGTATAACGGCGGCATGAAGGAACTGATGGAGCACCTGAAGGCCCAGCTTCAGGCCCTGTTTGAGGACGTTAGGGCCATGCGAGGGGCGCTGGACGAGCAGGCCTCGCACATCCAGGTTCTGTCGGACGACGTGTGCGCCAATCAGCGGGCCATAGTCTCCATGTGCCAGATTATGACCACCGCGCCCCGTCAGGGAGGCTTGGGCGTGGCCGGCGGCAAGGGGAGCTTCCCGAGTGTTCCACATGAGCCGGAGACACCTTCGCCTGGTATCGGGGATAGCGACTTGCTGGGTCGCGATCCAGAGGAGGACGAGGATGAAGAGGAGGAGAAAGGGATGCCCAGCCCCGCCACACCCACCAGTCACTGTGAGCGCTCTGAGAGCCCCTGTGCTGGTCTCCTTGGGGAGGATGGGCCACTTGTGGAGCCCCTCGACCTGCCTGACATTACCCTGCTGCAGCTGGAGGGCGAGGTCTCTCTGTGAGGGAGGACCCCACGGGAGCACCAACTACCTGAGCTTTGAGTTTCTAAGTGCTTAATGCTAGGGGACTGAACAGTGCGGTGCAGTGTGCTTCACTCCAAACGTGATTCTTATAGGTCAGGGAGAGAGACTCCCTCACGTAAGGATTTGTAGGGTGAAGGACTTTGGAAGCCTCGCGAAACCTTCCAAGCAAACATCATAGCAAAACTGCGGAAAGGTGAGGTTCCCGGAGAGGAAGTGCCCATCTCCGGGATTCCCAACCATCCACTTACTTTGCCCTTTCCCCTCTTCCCAGGAAACAGAAGGACCATTTAATTATGTAAATAAAATTCTGCTTTTTCTATTCTGAAAAAGGACTCATCTAGGACTTTGGCAAATAATCTCTATTTACCTAGAAATTAAGGAATTGGGGTATGTTCTGTTCTGGCAACAGGAAATTCACCCTTTTGCTGAAATCCGAGATACACAGTGCTCTGCAGAAGCCTCTCCCCTCGCAGATCTCTGCGGCTGTTGATTGGTAAAGGAAGCTTGAGGAGGGAGCTGCAGCCCTAGGAATCTGGGTGCATGGGGTTGCAAGGGCCCCTGGGCTGGGAGAGCTGGCTGTGGATGTGCATGAAGACACAATAGCTCAAGCTCTGGGATTTTGCATGCAGAGCAGAACCTGCCCTTTCACTGCCTTCATCTGGGGTTGCTTTCCCACTCACCTGGACCTAGAGATCAAAGTACCCAGTTCACAGGCAGAGACTTGGGGCTGCTCAGCAACAGCCCAGATCTAGGGGACAATTGAGGAACTCTTGGCAGGGGGGGCTGCGGCCCCAAACTGTCTTTTCTGGCTATACCTGCTTAAACTTAAGTTCCCCTTTCTGTCAATATGTCGCTACCCTCTGCTTTTTGGTGTTGCTTCCATTATTGTCTTGTGTTTTGTGTGTCCCCCGTGTAGTAGTGTGTGAGCCCTCAGGGGCAGGGCTTGTGGCTCTAGTGTTAGGTTCAGGGGGCTTCAGACCCTTCTGTGAGCCCCAGGCTATCATGGCGCTTTCCCCTCTCTTTTCCCCTTTGCCCCACTCCTCGACCAGGGCATGGAGCATGTGGCTGTCCTGAGGTTCCTTAACTGATGTGCCTCCCTCCTACCTTCTGAAGTGGTGACTTTGTGTGCCCTTCCCCCTCCTTTGTGTATCCTTTCTCAATGCTTTCCTTGGTGTCAACCTTAATAAAAAGACGTCATCTCCCCTCTTGCTGACTGGTCCTAAGGGGGCTTAAGGGTGGGGCTTCTGGGTCTGTTGTGTGGGTTGGGGCTTAGTAGGAACTTAGGGACCATGCGTTCCCTCCTCTCTCCTTGCCTGCAGTCCCAGAGAGTTAACTGACCTTGTCCTGGTTAGGGCAAGCATTGCCAACTCTGCCTGCTGTCCCTTCTGCCTCAGACCTTGATCCAAACTGGACTAGGAAATGTACAGATTGGCACAGAAATACCCAGCTTACAAGGGCTTTTAGTAGCCAGCATTCCACACCTGCACGAGATGTTTTGTTTCTGTGAAGCATCCCCCCTCATCATCCCTGCCATAGGGTGACTTCCGAACAAGAGCCCTGGCACAGCAGGCATGACACCTGTTCTAGGGATGGAGTGGCAATCGCCGTTCTGGAGGGGTTGCTCAGGGTTTCTGGAGTGGAGTGACACATCACCGAGGAAACCACAATAACTGCCTCGGGCCTCTAGTGGAAGATGCCGGCAAGGTGTTCCCCAGAGAGAGTCAACACTGACATCATCTCTAGCGGCTCCCTTGGGTGATGGAGATGTCCTGAGGCTGCCCCAGAACAAAGGTTGAGATCAGACTAGGCTCTGTGTGTGTGTGTGTGTGTGTGTGTGTGTGTGTGTGCATGCACGCGCGTGTGCACGCGTGTGTGCTTGTGTCTGCGTGTGTGTGTGTGTTGGTTTGTCTGTGTGTGTATGTGTGAGTCTCTCTCTCTCTCTCTCTCTCTCTCTCTCTCTCTCTCTCTCTCTCTGATGTAAAATTGCTTCTGTTAGAGAGGTCCAAAGAGGGCTAAAGGCACAGATATGGGTTTGAAGCTTTAAATTCCAACACTGAATTTACTGCCCGAGATCTGGTTTTCAGAATGCATATGATAGGAATAAAAATTCGTTAGCAAAAAAAAAAAATACACGGCTCCTAGGAGGTCTTGTGTAAATGTTAGTTTCTTTATAGTTCTCCTAGGAATGCAGAGTGGTGACGACTCCTTCAGGAAAGCAAAACAACACAGGGAAGGTCCTAGAGACTCTTTAAAAAGGTTTATTATTTATGTATACGTGTGTTTGTGCCTATATGTGTGCACATGTGCGTATGGTGCCCACAGAGGACAGAAGAGAGTGTCAGAGTCCCAAGAACTGAAATTCAGGCAGGTGTAAGCTGAGTGATGAAGTGCTGGAAAACACCAGAGTCTTCTGGAAGAGCAGTGAGGGCTCATGGCAGTCAAGACATTTCTCCAGCCCTTATTTTGCAGGTCAGATTTATGCTGTCCTTTTTCCTTTCCTTTTTCACCCCCTTTTTTTTTCCTTCCCACCCTCTTTTTCTTTTTGAGACAGAGTCTCACTACATAGCCCTGGATGACCTGGGTTCTCTATGTAGAACAGGCTGCCCTTGGACTCACAGAGATATACCTGCTTCTGCCCCTTGAGTAAACTCTCTTTTAATATGATCTTTTACCAAATAAAGAACCTTGAGGATAGAATTAAGGCAAAGGGCATGCCATGATTAGCTTCTCAAGAGGCCTTTTTATTTTAAGCAAAAGTAGGTATGAACCAAAAGGCTAAAGGACTAGCCCCATATTCTGAAAATGCCTTGAGGTATATACAGTCCTGGGTAATGTGTGCTGGGGCCCTCAGGAGAGCAGACAGGGTACATAGCTGAGGAATGGGACAGGTTTCTGCTACAGTTTCGACAGTCAGCATCGATTACCATGGTGACGATCAGTTACTAAGCTCCAATTTTATCTCCCAGCAACTCTATGATGTAGAAACTGTTATTTTTACATAACAGCTCAGCCACAGGATTAAGACTTCAAGGTCACAGACTGGAATTAGAAAGAGCCAGGACCAACCCCAAGATAGTTCGATTTAAAAGAACCCTAGATAGAAACCATCTTCCTATTTGCTCTTTTATTTGGATCTTTAAAGAGAGCGAGAGAATCCTGAAAGGACACCAGCATCACTTGGTCAGTTGTCACCTTCTCAGTTTGAAGAGATCACAGTTCGGGTTTTGGTCCATGACCTTTCTCAGCATAACCTTTCTTGAGTAACTGCACGGAGCAGATGGCTGTCTGGACCTGCTTTTGGAGGGGAAGAGGCCAATGCCTGCAGGCATTCCCTGATGACAACTCCTTCCTCTGGTGAGCTCACTTTCTGTTCCGGAACCCAGATCCTCCATCATTTGACCTAAATCTCAAAGGCAACACAGCATATCTGGACTCCATAGAGAGCTCTGGTTGAGTCCGGTAGCCATCAACTTGAGTTCTGTTCCTGTGTATGTGTGCCCCCAGTCCCCTAATTATTCCCTGCAAGTCCAGAGAGATGAAAAATCTTCCTACAGAAAGTGGTTCTCATGCCTTCTTTTATCTACACAAGCATGTCAAAGATTCTGCAAGACTGCCCCGCCTCCCACCCCCACCCCAGTCTGCCTTCCCTATTTCCCATTGGCCTCCGGGGGTTTCTTCTCCAGACAGTTGGTGAGTGAGTTTCAGTCCGTTTCCCACCCAGGGTTTATGGCAGACCTCACTGTTGTATTTCAGGAAGCCACGGTCATTGGAAATTAGACACAAAATCCTTCAAATATATATTCTCTCTAGAGGGAAAGGGCTATTGCCTCTACTTAATCCTTAAAGAGTAAGAATCAGGCTTTTATAAAAATGGTAAGAGCCATTGAGTAAAGTGTAATGAGAGACTTCAACTCAAAAAAAAAAAAAATCCACAAAGAAAACAAGCTGTGTGAGGCCAAGATGTCCAGCATCGGTACCTCCTGGAGCCTCCGAAGTATTTCCTCCCCGGAACTGAAATGGCCATCTCCATCCGACTCTTCTCCACTTACTTGATTACACTGACACCTATCAGGTGGTGCAGTCCTGCCATTATCACTCCCAAATCTGCAATCCTGGAAACCCGTCAAAGTACTGCGAGAGCCTAAGAAATGTCTGAGGTCTCTTGAGAACTAGAGAGCACTCATCTACTCACTAAAGACAAATCGAAGGAGCGATTCCACCCAAGGCCAGATTGGTAAACTAGCGAGCTTATTGGAGTGTTCAATAGGGGGTGCAGGGGAGGTATTACTTACAGAAGCATGGGTAGCTAGCTCACTCAAAGGCAGCTGCATCGTGGAACAGCCCACCTCAGCACAGGAGGCTACTCCCCAAAGCTGCATTCCTGGGGCTCCCTGCCTCACTTGCAGACAGCTCCAGCAGAGTCATACACCAGTGTTACATAACCTTTCAGGGGTGGGGCTTGTCCTAACTTTCTGGGTTCTGAGTTTTCAAAGCCTCCACTCTCCCTTCAGGAACCCCTCCCCCTACAGGGTTTCTTTGAGTGTAGCTCTGGTTGTCCTGGAACTCAGTTTGTAGATCAGGCTGGCCTCGAACTCACAAAGATCCATCTATCTCTGCCTCCAAAGTGCTAGGCTCAAAGGTATGGCAGGGAGGCACACTTTAACTGAGAGGAGACAACTATATAACACTGTCTGTGGCTTCAAGTTAAATTTTTCTGTTTGGGGCCAACACAACTCCACATACAACTCAATACAAGTCTCGGTTTCTAGAACTCTCATCTTTTAACTTGCCTAATTAAGATTAGCTCTTAATCTCAAAGCACATCTTGTTTCACAGAAATAAGCTATAAATTTAGCTTGGTGCAGCTATATCTGCTCTTAGAGGGTCCGTTGCTTCCCTGTGACTCAAACTGGCTTTCAACATGGCATGCAGAGTTATGGACTCTCAGTGCTGTTGTAGATTATAGTTTCTGCTTGACATCTGTAAACACAAGTTCTCCTGGAACTGAGTTACATCATCCTCCAAACATATTTAAGTCAATACTTCTCGAAAGACATAAAACTTCTTGCTTTGAAAGACAGCTTTTCATAAACATCTTTCCTTATTTAAGTGCTTAGAAACAGAAATCCACTCAGGGAACCTATTAGAGCTGGAATATTGAAGCACAGAAGAAATGTTCATCAATCTTATTCTAGCTATCACCCCCCCCCTCCCCCGCCCCATTCTACACTGTCCTCAGAAGGTGAATTCCTTCTGAAAAACAGCTTTTCTGCTTGGAAGCACTGTGCTTGGGGAAAGAACCTGGCTCTGTAAATAATGCTGTAATGGTGCCACCTGTCGTGGAATAGAGACATTACAAGAGGAACATCGAGTGAATTTATGTCTTTCACTTCTGGCCTGGCAAAGGCCTTCGAAAAGCCTGGCTCCCTGCCATGTGGTGGGTGGTGAGGAGAGACAGGAAAACTGAATAAGTAGGGTGGATTTGAAGACTATAAATGCAGCTGCAATAAACCAGCTGCTCCCCCATCTCTCAGATGCCGATACTCCAAAAATGAATCTTCCCAACCAGAGTTCTGAATATTCTTGACAATCTGCAATTTCTCCCCAGTGCTGCTTATGTTAAATAGAAAATGTGATGTGATGTGGTGCGTGTGTGTGTGTGTGTGTGTGTGTGTGTGTGTAGGGGGGAGGGAATCAAATTCCTCTCTAACAAGGGCCTGGCATACCCCCTGCCCCACCAATATTTATTTTCCTAGCTCCTTTTTAAAGACGGTCTTACCTCATCAGAAGCCCAGATCCTCCAGTTCAGTGCTGGAGGTGATTCCCAAGTGGAACCTGTTCCTTCAGTCTGTACAGGTCTCCATTTCTTCCCAGAGAAGTCAGGTACAAACCACGTCTCCAAAAATGAGCCCTCGGTCATAGTCTCCAGCATTGTCTATCTCCCCTGGTTGTTTTCCTTTCACAATGCCTTTGAGTGAGAACTCTCCACAGATACTATGCAACTCTTTGATTATGAATTTGTGTTTTTATTTCTAAGAGCAAGGTTCACAATTTTCATCAAGTTCCTTAATGGGCGAAGTCGAAAGGAATAATGAATTCTGTAGCCAAGATGTCCTACTCCTCATTCCCTGGAGACACTTCCATTTCCCTGCATTCGGTAAAAACCCTTACTTTTCTATTTGTCCTGTCCCTGTCCTCCA